GGCGCTGAGAAGTGTGTTCTCAGGCAAAAGACATGGGATCCAGTCCTGGCTATGTATGCAAATCTAATGTGACCTTGGGGGGCTGAGTGACCTCTTTGAGCCTCAATTTCTTCATCTGTACCACAGGATACTGGCCTAAACTGCTGAATCTTTAACCAGGGATACCTGACAGAAACACCTAGGGAATTTTTTCTAAGTACTCATGACCAGGGGTGACCAGGTGTATCTCTCTGAGATTGTGATTCAGCCCTGGAAGGTAATGGGGGGGGGAGGGGAGATGTATATATTTTTTAAATTCTCTGACTGATACTGAAGATTAAGAATCATTGGTCTTAAAGATCCCTACGTCCCCTTCATCTGAGACCATCATGCCTCACCTGAGAGGCTGGCACACAACAGGTACTAAATAAATGTTTGCTGCTTCCACTATCACATCCACCCCTGCCAAAAGCAATGGCAGTCATATAGACTCTACTAGGCAAGGTGGCAGCCGGTGCCACATGGAAGATAAACTGTGTTGGCCTACTAGGTCCATTCCTAAATTTAAAAATACCCATGGCCCATTACCAGGAGTTTCCTACCAATGGAAAGAATGGGGAGGGGATGCCGGTAAATAAGTCCATGCCCAAAAGAGCGGAGCTAAACTCCAGAGCTGTGCTTCCCAAACCCTACTGTGTGCACACATCACTTGGGGGACGTATTGAGATGCAAATTCAGGGGTGAGGCTGAGATTCTTCATTTTAAAAAAGTCCCACATGATACCGAAGCTCCTGGCCCAAGAAACAAACCTTTGAAAGGCAATGTTCTGAGCACATTTTGAAGGGGCAAATGTGCACACAAATTTTCTGGGCATCTACTTACATACCACTCGGGTACTGTGCTGGGGCTGGAAAGAGAGATAAAGAAGACACAGAAAAGAGACATCTCAGCATATATTCACAATACAACATGCTTTAAGTTCTATATCAGAAGCATAGCCAAGGGGCCAGGAGCATTCCAGCAAGAAGCCATTTATAATATTTGGACAGCATGATACAGAAAACCATGCGGAACAATGAGGAGGTAGTGCCGTTGCGAGGAGAACAATACACAAGAGGACGTACGGCATGGGCCCACGGGGAGGCTGGAACCACGTCAGCAAACTGCATTTGTATGACCCACTAGCCAGGGCGCTTTTTATATTTTTAAGTTTAAAAAAAAAGAAGAGTATGCTCCATTCACAAAATGGTTCTTAATTTTCTGCTAGCAGGGGAGTGCACACATGTGTGCCTAGAAATAAAATTAATTGGGAAATCAAAGCAACATGTTCTTATTGTATTAGGCACTGCTAGACGGCCATTCTGACTTCCTCCTAAAAGTAGAGCCAACCGACCCTCCCCACTGCCACACAAGTTACTTCTGATCATCAGGCACAGGTGCCAGGTGAAGGGGAACAAGGTACCATTGTCAGTCCAATGGACCCAAGGCAGGGTGAGGCTGAATGGGGAAAGAGCAAGAGGAGGATGAGAAAGCAAGCCTCACACATGGGGGCCGGAGGGGATGAGGTAGGACAGGGCCCAGGACGGTCACTTCTCCAGCCAGAGGTCATGCTCTAGGAGGACAGGAGAGGCTGCAGAGGGGCTGTGCTGAAGTCCCCTCCGTGCTAGATTCCTGGCAGGATGAGAAATGGGGTTCCCGTAAACCAGAAGGAACGCTGCTGGCAGGAGACACTCAGACCTGCTCAAGAGGGCTTTAAATGGAAATATGAGAGCAAGGGAGGAAACTGTTAAGTGCCCAGCAATGCGCTGGGCAAACAAGTGTGTCCAAGACACGGGCACTCCAGAAGGACAGGGGCTCTGGAGTCACAAGGGAGGGAGGCCAGCCTGGACAGCCCTCCACGCCCCCAGTGGCACTGGGGCCAAGGCAAGAGATGAGGTGGGCAGCTGAAGCAGGAGCCTGGGAGGAGATGGCCGTGCTAAGATGGGGGGGGCTGCCTGTCCGAGGTACACAGATGAGCCAAAGAAGGAGCTTCTACTCTGAAGATGGAGGCAACCTAGAAGGAGGCCACTGGGGAAGATGCAGTACAGGCTTTAGGGGCGGCAAAGTCAAGAGCCCTGGGGGTCAGCATCCATAATTAATAGGGAATAGGGAGAACTGAAGCTACGTAGGGCCCATAGCAAGGCTTTTAAAAATGTCTCTTTTTCTTTCTTTGTGGCCAAATATATCTCGATGTCCACAGAGCCACCGATCTGCAGCCCTGCTGCTGGGACATTTCCTCCACGTATTGTGCATACACACCCGTACGACACCACTCCACCCATTGCCCCAATTTGGTTTGCATGTCTGTTTCCTGTGCAGACCACAACCTCCCAGACACTGAAACAATGCCTTGAAATTCACCTATTCCCCCAGTCTCTGGAATGGCAGGCAATAAACGTGGAGATGACAAACTTCCTCGGTGCTGCATAAGTCAGCTACGGCGCTCCTTTTGCAAAAAGCCAACTGTCTGATGTATTCTCACTCACTAAACAACAGTGTGACCACACGGTTAAGGAAACCGTAGAGGTAAGTAATTAAGAGGGGTTTAATTCCAGCCAAAGAAGAGAAGTTTGATACACTGGGCACAAGAACACATTGGGAGAATGATACTGTATTCTCTTGGGTCGTGATCTGAAAAAAGGGTGATTCTGTGACCTTGGAAAAGCAAAGTAGCCAGCAACCAGCAAGGTGCTCAGAGAAACCGTGGGCAACAGAGAAAAAAGACCAACAAAGGTGTGTGGAGAAAGGCAAAATCAGTGATCAGCTTAAAGGGGTACACTGTGGGGGTGAGGGGACTAAAGCTGGCAGAAAGAAGGGAGGAGGAGCTTTAGGGAGGGGCCTGTGAGGAGCACAGAGGCACTTCCTCCGGCCTGCAGTGCACTCACTGAGGACAGACTTCCCAAGGTGCCTTGCTCTCCCCATCTGTGAAATGAGCTGAATCCGAGGTCTCTCCAAGCACAGACTGGCAATGAAGCCAGGAGAGAGCCTGAACAGCCTCGGAGCTCCATCCACCGCCAACACACTAGTGAGACCTAGTGAGTTGTGTCCTAGTGAGACCACAGAGCCTTGCTCTTCTTACATTTGTGTGAGCCGAAGGTGTGCAGCGTCTGCCCCGTTGGAGACCCCAGGCCCACCTATGCCAAAAGGACATGAAAGGGAAAGTGTGTAATGAACTGGCTCGCCTCACCAACAGTTTCATGGACTCTTATACTCTACACACTCCCACCCTCCAACATCCCTATCCTGCCTCAGGCAGCAGCTGTCACGGTCCTCCCCAACATGACTTCCCTGACTCCTGTGGGCAGCTCCATCTCCATCCCTCATTCTTCTCCAGCCCTTTAGTGCTTCCTGGTAATATGAACACCAATATGAACATTGTGCACTTTCATAATCATGAAGTGCCTTCCCACAGACAAGTACTTTAATCCTTAATCCAGACTTTATAGATAACACCAGCACTCCCATTTTATAGAAGAGGAAACTGATGCTTCTGGAAGACATTATCTTCATCTGACCCAGGACCACCTCAACTTCTAGCCAGGACTCTCCCAGCTCCTGAACTAATCAAGAAAGATTCAGCAATCATATCCAGTCCTCTCTAATCTAATCCTTTTGCTGCTAAATAAACCCAGTAATCAAGGTGCCAAGGTCAATCACGTCACTGTCTTTCACCCTCCTGTGCCAGTCCAGGGTGCAGAACCGTGAACCTGCCTCAAGGCCCCAGGCAAGGCAGATGCCGTCACCTTGGCCACTTTCCCCAGCCATGCTCCAACGCTAGCACCCTCCTCACTTCAGTCAGCCCTCCCTCCCAGTCCTGGAGGCTCTCCACTGGTGGGGACACTGACCTCTCTCCTGCATTTCGAGAAAGCCCCTCTCTGGGCTGGCCAGCTCAGTCAACCATCACTGGACCACCCCCCAGGCCTGCTTCCAACATCAAGCCACGTGCCACCCAGCTCCTTCAACCAGCCCCCTCCTCAGACCCATTCCCTGTTAACCCAAAACTTGCACCTGGCAAACAGGTTTCCACCTTTTCCCAATTTCCATCCTCCCACTTGTTCATTATGGTCTCTATAAGTAGACTAAGTTGACCTGCTTCAAATTACAGCTCAGAGAGGTCAGGTGACTTGCCCAAAACCACACAGCTAATAAGTGGCAGAGCTGGGATGTGAACCCAGCTCTCGTAATTCCAATCCATATGTTTGTGCCATTAATTCCCACTTTTTCTCCATTGCAACACTCAGGAAGCCACTTACACATGAGAGGGTACAGACTACAGCTTATTCTCTTTAATAATAATGATTGCAACAAGAGCTAACATTCACAGAGTGTGCACTGAGAGCCAGGTACATATTCAGCACTTTACCTTCAGCCCTAGGAGGTGTTGCTATCCTCGTTTTCAGGTGAGAAAATGGAACAGTAATTTACTCAAGGTCTCACTAGCTGAAGCCCACACTTTCAGACTACCACAGTGCTACAGCACCTCTAGTTCAAATGCAATTCCTAGTGCACAGCAGTGTCAAAAATGTGGGTTAACTGAATTTAAAAAAATGTAGCTGGAGACAACCAAATGGGAGGTTCTGCAAAGTAAGTCTAACCAAATCAGGCAAAGCTGGTGAACACTAGCTATCACTCTTTAGTAGAACTAAAAATAATATTGTTCCTATACAGTCTCTGGGGACAGTGTGGAACAAACTACAAAGTCAGGATTCCTGGTTTTGACTCTCGTTTTGCTCCTGGCAGCTGTGGGGGCTCTGGGCAAGTCCTTTCCACCTACCTCCGATCTCATTTTCCCCAACTATAAGAAGCAAACAAACCAACCAGCCACTGGACTAGGTCAGGGGTTCTCATCAGCATTGGCACCACCCATGAGCTTGTCAGAAATTCAAGTTCATGATCTACCCCATCAGAATCTCTGGGATGGGGCCCAAAAAACCCTCCAGGATGACTCTGATAAGCCTTCAAGTTTGAGAACCAATAGTCACTAGATGATCTCTGCGATTCTTACAGCTCCATCCCTCTGAGAGCCTTAAGTGTCCTCAATGCAGCATCATCAAACTCCTCTCAATGTTGCCCCTCTGATTTTGATCCGGCGTGTACTGAAGTCACCTGGCTGTCTCATCTGGCCATGTCTGACACTTCCTCCTGTGATTAATACAGAAGGCCCCAAGAAACAGACAGGTTATTCCACTGCGCTTCTTTTTCCCATTTACCACCTCAGCGGTATGGATTCTGTCGCTATATTAAAAAATACAAGTAATGTACCAGCAAGGAAGCCACACCATGAGCACTATGGCATCCTGCCCCCATCTTTTAAAAAACTGGAAAGGCGGTTTATCCCTGAGGCCAATCAGTAAGGAACTGCCATATAATCTGAGACAGTGCCTTTCTAAGCCCAGTGGTCTCTTTAGTACAAACCAGCAGAAGGAATGAGAGAATTTGCTTTGTACTCCAATCAATGACATGTGTCGATGAAACAAACCATTTCATGCTTAGTCCTTATGTGAAAGAAAAAAAAAAAAAAAGAAACATATAAACCTTACAAGTATGAAAACACATCCCAAAGAATACTATTGGATTGTCATGACACATTTTTGCAACAAAAAAAAACATAGAAAAAATACGTCATGACATTTCTGACAACCCAATATATTCTCTGTGCAGACTATCAACAAATAGACTATTCATTGCTGCAACCCTGAAATAGTGCCTGAAAGTCTACTATGAAATATGAATGAATGAATGAATGAATGAATGAGAAGGTGCTTGTACCTTCTCCGTGCTGGTCCTGCAGCTTATAGAGATGAACAATTTAAAATCTTATTCTACAGGAACTAAGTTTTAATGTGGTGGTGGCAGTGTTAAACATATCCATCCATTCATGTATCCATGCTGCTGTCCATCCACTCAACAAGTATGACTACCATATTCCAGGCAGGAACAAATGTCTTAAAGAAGTTAAGAGCCCAAAATATGATAGGCATATAGATAACTACAAGAGAAGGTGGAAAATGCTCAGTGCCATGCAAGCACTACAGATAAAGGGCCATGGGAGATGATAAGATTAAGTAATTATCTCCTGCTTAGGGGCAAAGGGTGGAAACCAAGATCAGCTTCATGGAGGAGGTGCTGGAGGCTGACGATCAATTCGGATTCAAACCAGCGGCAGGGAACAGCAATCCAGACTGAGACTATGTTGTGACAAAGACAAAAATGAAAGAAAGCAATGGAAACGAGGTTCCAAACGTCAGTTGGTCCCATTCAACAAGACCATGAATGGCAGAATAAAAAGGATATACGTGGAGACTAAATAGATCAGTGGTTGGCAGGGGCTGGGGTGGAGGAGGGAGGGATGAATAGGTAGATGACAGAGGACTTTTAGAGCAGTGAAAATACTCTGCATATAATGATACATACATGTCATTATACATTCGTCCAAGCCCATATAATGCACAACACCAAAAGTAAACCCTAATGCCAACTATGGACTTGGAGTGATACTCACATGTCTCTATAGATTTACTAGCTGTGACAAATGTACCACTCTGGTGGGGGCGTTGCAACCGGAGGAGACTATGCTTGTGTGGGTGCAGGTGGGATATGGGAAATCTCTGTACCTTCCTCTCAGTTTTGCAGTAGACCTAAAACTGCTCTTAAAAAATAGGCTGACCCTAACCTTAAAAATTAAAGTTATCCAGAGGGTTTTCTTCCCTGGGGTTCCGCCACTGCTTTCCCTGCCCTCCACTTCCTCCCACTGGAGATGGCCGCCCTCCATCTCTCCTGAAGGGCGGCCTGCTGTGCACCTGCTCGCTTCGTCTGGCTTCCCAGCTCCCGCGCCGTCTCAGCTGCCTTCTCATCCCCGTCTTCCTCCCAGTATCAGCGCCTGCCGCAGGCTTAGCTGTACTTCCTATGCCATGTCTTTACACTACTGTTTTCTGTAATTTATAAAACACATACTGCCCACGAGTTTGTATTTTTAATTCCTGTAAGAAGTTTCGGGATCCAATTTGTGTGAAAGTCAGACTGCAACATAATGTAGTATTGTATGATAAAAGCCTCCAAGAATAAAAACAGACAGTATATCCTGCTTATCAGAAACGCAAACACTGGTTCCCTTCCTGGGTGTCACAGATTTCCTTATGAATAACCGTTCTCGGTTTCACATCCATTTGTCCCAGTCTTCTTGAAATAAGTTCTAAGGGTAAAGTTTCTTAATTTTTAAGGCTTCATTTTTCAAACATGTATTGAGAACCTATGCTATGTTAAAATTAAGCACCGTGGCTCACTTAACTTTCACAAGGTAAAACGGTGGTGTTTTGTGAGCTTAAGTACTGTGAGGGATCCCTGACCACTGAACCCACTTTACAAATGAGGAAAACGGGTGTATGGTAGAAGGGCCTGAATCCAAACCCAGCTCTATCAGAGTCCCTGACTGTTGGTCACACATCCACTCAACAATAGGGACAGAATCCGGGAACTTCCCCGATCCCTTTTTGACCTCTGGGATTCCAGCTTCTCCTTGCACTGTCCCTCTACATTTCAGGATCTCAGTCTTCCCAGAAAACAATATGGCTGTAGAGTGGAGATTTTTACGCCCGGCTTTGCCAAAGCCCCCTCCCCCCCAAAAAAAGCAGGCAAGGGCTAGAAGAGTGTGTTCCATTCCATCCCACTTCATCTGCAGCCCCTTCAGTTTATTCATTAAAATTAGATTATAACAGGCTTCTGTATAAAAAAATCCTTCCCCAGCTATTAAAAAAAAAGGGAGTTTTTAAGCCACAGGGGGAATGCAACTTGTTTTTTTTTTTTAATTCAACAGTCATTTACAGGGCACCCACTCCATGCCAGGTTCCATGCTGGGGGCAGAGGATACAATGAGAACAAGGCACGCACGGTCCCTGAATCCACAAGTTTGTATTCTTGTGAATACAAGACTATAGAATTACTATAGAATTACAATGGTGGTAAGCACTAAACATAAAATATAGAGTACTACAGTGACACAACAGAGAGGAAGCAAGCCAGCTTTGGGGTAGGGATCGAGGTGGTGGGGGAGAGGCAACAAAGTTTCAAGGCTGACTAGAAATCAATCAGTCATAGAACTCAATCGGTCAAAGGGACCAATGTGAAACCCTGGAATAGATTCTAGAAAAAAAAGAGGATGTTAATAGAAAAACTGATAGATACTCAAATAAAGTGTGGAGTTTCTAGTAATGTACCAATGTCAGTTTCTTAGTTTTGACAAATGCACTATGGGCATGGAAGATGTCAAAAATGAGGAAAACTGGCTGGGTAAGGGGTGTATGAAAATTCTCTATACAACCTTCACTACTTTTCTGTAAACCTAAAATTATTCCAAAATTAAAAGTTTCTTTAAAAAGATGAGAAAAGAACCTGCTCATCCCTAATATCTTTTCCACATCACAATTGTATGACTGTATAAGGATAGCACATAATAACAGTAGCTAACATTTAAGGTGGGCTTACCACATGTCAGGCTTGGTTCTAAAGGCTTGATACACATTATCTCATTTAATCCTCACAACAAGGAGATAGGTAATTTTATTATTCCCATTTTATGGAAAAAGCAACAGAGGCCTAAAGAGATTGAGGAACAAGTCAAGGTATTACATGGTAGAGCCAGGAAGCAATCTAGCTCTACACGTTTAGCTCAAAGCTTTCAACATGTTTCTGGACTTTTCAAGTAGGCATATGTAACTCGGAAAATCAAAGGACTAACCACAAAGACTGAATGTGAGTATATGTTTAATACAAAGAAGAGGAAAAAAAATTTACTCTCAAGGTAAACTCCTAACTTTTGGAAATCTTTACTGGAGCAGAACCAAACTTCACTGCCATTATCAATGACGTCTTCTCCACATGTGAACAATATCTCTGGGTTTGTGCTGTGGCCTGGGCTCTCTGCCGCATAACTCTTGAAGATCTGTACCACCAGCCCCCTGATCTGCCACTTGCCAGGCGGCCTACTGACATCTTCATCCCTAAAGAATCTGCCCAGGTATATGGTGAAATGAAACACGCAGGCTGCCTTTTCAAGGTCTTCATAACTAGCTTAAGTTTTCAGGCGACTAGTTTTCCTAGATGCTCAAGAATCCACGCAGAGAACCTAACAATGCATTGCTCATTGCTAGAAAACAAAAAGCCCTTCTCTCCGATTTATAATGCTCCTCACTGACTATGGTTTCCACCAGTTCAAAGATAAGTCAGAAAGATTCTCAGCTCTGCTGTGGGATCCTTAAGTGTTGGATTTGGTCTCACCCACTGAACAATATTTATTCAATAAAGAAATGGTTCCAAAGAAAAGACATTCTCCTGGACAGATCTGCATCTGGCCAGGGCAGCCACTCCGATCTGCTCCACCACTGAAGCTATTTGTCTTTAGAAGGTTTGAGTGGACACATTCCATGGGCAGAACCAGAAGCTGAAAGGGGATCCTTAAGAGATGAGGAGAGAGGGAGCAATCCAGTAGGGAATGAGAAAGGAAAATTTACAGCAAGGAGGCTATAGGCTAAAAAGAAATATGCTCGATCCCTACCCCCTCCCAACTAGTAACCCTCAGTTTTTCCTCTGTGTCTCTGAGACTATTTCTGTTTACATTTCTCATTTATTCAGTTTTTTAGAATCCACGTATAAGTGAGATCATATGGAGAAGGGAAAGGGATGAGACAATACAAATTGGTAACTACAATATGGCCTCAGGGATAGAAAAGACAGTCTGGGGAATATAATCAATAATGTTGTAAATATTTTTTAGGGGGCCAGATGGACTCATGCCTTGTTAGGGAGACCACTTCATGGACGGTGTAGAGGCCTGACCGCTGCACTGTATATCTGAAGTTGATGTTGAATAATATTGTATGTCAACTATAATTATATACACATATAGTCACGGGACGTGGAGTAGAGAGTGGGAATGGAGTCAATGGAATTGTAATAGATAAGCATGATATCAGGGGTGGGAGGGCAGTAGATGGGGGAGGGGGATCATTTCAGTGCGAAGGGTGAAAAGGATAACTATTGCAATGTTCTGTACACCTGAAACTAACAATAAAAAATAAATTAATTTTAAAAAAAAAGAAGAAATATGCTTGAGTGGCAGAGGAGGAGGACTTATGACTAAACACTGA